TCGTATGATGAGAAGTTACCAACTATTCCTCAAAAGAAACAACTAGACTGATGGAAAAAAGTTCTCAGTCCACCAAATTAAAAACCTTGGCCTGCCAACTCAGGTGTGCTTGGGCGCCAGGACAAGACAAAACACCCAACAGAGATAAAGACTGATATTCAAGGTTTGGTGGCTTGTTGATTTGAGGTCTCGAAAACAGAAATATTTTCATGTAATGCTCAAATGCAACAGTTAAAAGGTAAAAGATAGTTAATACATGATTTAAGCTCAAATGTAACTGTAATATTTTCATGTTGTTGAAGATTCTTGAGTCACAACATCTGAAATCGGGCAGTGATCAAGCTGTCTAGAGATGGGAGAAGAGAGGGGAATTTTCTGTATCCCCTTATTACAGATTTCTAGGCACTTGGGATTGAGACAACAGCTCCAATTTCCCGGCTATGCAAATTGGTAAACCAATACTCCTCCGCATATTGCTTTTTTTGCTTGGGAGGCATGTTTGGAGAAGATTTTAACTATTGAAAAACTCAGAGTTAGAGGACAGTTTTAGTAAATGGATGCTGCGGTTGTCTTCAGGTAGAGGAGACGTGTAATCATTTACTGTCATGGTGTCCTATGGTTTACAATCTTTGGTGTATGGTGTATGGTGTATGGTCTCATGAGGATTGAGTGGGTGATGGCATGGACGGTTTTGTATGGAAATTTGGGCTTCAGATGGTTTATATGTAAAGGGCAAAATATTGCTAGTCTAATTCCACTTACTGTTTTTTGGATTATTTGGAAAGAAAGAAACTCCAAGGCTTTTGAGGATGTTGAAAGTAGTGTGTACAAAATAAGGATAGTTGAATTCACTATTTTGATTCTATTTTGTTAGGTGATGATATTATTAGTGATGAGCATGTCATAGATACACTAATACTGTTGTAAAGTCTATGTACATGGATTGTACTCCCTTTCTGGTACCATGTTAGTATGTCCTTCATACTTTTTATCTAAAAAAAAAAAGTTTATCAGTCTAAACCTTCCGTCAAAATGCAGTTGATACAATTTAATATGAAAGAAATCATAACATACCAACCATCCCAAGATAGCTGAATCTTTACCAACACCCAGAAAATGCTCTTTGATAAAAGCATGTTGACGAACATGGGTCACCTTTTTCTTCAAAACTGCATCAGCATAACTCATAAAAATTAGAAGAACAAATGAAGTGATTAGATTAGCTACTTTCTGAAACTTTGAATAGGAAAGGATTGACTTTGTAAGAACTAAAATCACCATTTCCCAGCAAGTAAGGAAGCATGGGAATAGGGTCTATCATAATCAACTCAGCTATTCTAGGTACTATTCTATTAGTCATAAACACTTTTACAAATGAAAACATATACATTCCAGACAACAAGTCAAGAAGCATGGGAATAGGATCCCTCATTCACCCATTTTATCAAATTGTCATGTCTCTCATTCAAAGGCCTCTTAAGAAAGAAGAATTGAGAGATGTCACATAACTGTCTTATTGCATTTTTTTTATCAGTTCTGAAAAAGTTTGGATAAAAATAAGCATAGAACATTTCTCTAGTTAATGAAAAAGATAAAGCAAAAACATCAAATGTCCAAGTATCTGACATTACCATGCTCTAGATCATAATTATCCTTTTGAATGGAATCTTCCCAGCGTTTCCATTGATGTATCTGCATAATATCAAGTAAACCATTGAGAAATGATGACCTAGGTAATTATTATAGAACAAAAAATAGCAAGCAAACAAGAATTTTAGATGCTCACCCTTGCTCCACCAAAAAGAACAGTTAAAACACAGAAAGTCACATGA